GATTTTCTTTATTTGAGCACAGATCGACAATGTTCAGCGATGAGACAATGATTTGTTCTTGATTAAACATTGTTTATCCGACGGATATGGTTTTGCTGCACCTCATTTTCTTGACCATTTTAGGTCATTACCCTGATTCGATGTGATTTGATTATATACTATATCATATCTGATGCGGTTGTAAATTATGTGTGGTACATTACATGTCATGTGTCCAGCACTAGAAATTATAATTATACATTTCATTACACATTGCATGCACATTGATTAGTACTATGACCGTTGTGGCATTTATTAGTATAATGTTCAGTGCTGGAGGTAAGATAAGTAACGAACGTTTTGTTGGTGAATTAATTGAATGCTGCGAGTGCAGGAATGCTGAGGTTGAACGAAAGTGACATGAAGATAAGAGTGCGAAAAAGGTGATTGATTCAGTGGAAGCAGTCAAGCGTGATCTCTTTGAAACATGCATTCATCAACTGACAATTCATCTCACAAAATTTTTATCTGTCCTATCGCAGCCATCAGTCCTAACAGCTTTTGTCCTTTATCATTCATAATCATGTGAAGTATGACATTCCTTTAACTCACTTTTTCATGACATTTTAGCGCATTCCGAGTGAGTTTTAATCATTCGATTTCATCTGGTACTTACTCGACATTTTTAATCAAATACATATTGAATGCTGATGGATAATGTTGATGATTACATTGCAGAAATGTCGCACACTACAAACATGATTTCAGAACTTATTGCATGCATGCATCTACTTCCTGAATGCTGACCTATTGCTGAACCAGTTTTTCCCTTCAATGAAAATGCCCATTGATTACATTCCACGGATTACATCCTCTGAAAAAGTGATGATAACTAGTTACAATTATGATCTCATAGCGATCGAACGTCTTACAATCGAATGGTAGGTTTATCGAAGTTGTTCTGGAGCATTTGGTACCAGTTTGGTTCTGACTTACTCTGATCTCTACACAAAAACACCACGAAACATATGTGATTAATATGGACCATTTTTTTGATGTTACGCTTGAATTTAATCGTTATGCTACAATACCTCTCAGGAGAATTGCACGAACTTTTCAGTGAAGTACTTCCTTTTCTGATATCATCGAGAGGATGAATTTTTTCTTTTGTATTATCATAAGTCATGCAAAGCGCACATTAAANAAGTATTTCCTTTTCTGATATCATCGAGAGGATGAATTTTTTCTTTTGTATTATCATAAGTCATGCAAAGCGCACATTAAAGTTTTTTTCGCAGGAAGTTTCAATACTATAACGTTGCATCAGTTTATCACATTATACCATTATGTCAATTGAATGAAAACCCTTTTGGTGCACATCATTCTAGGTTAGATAACGCAATCAATCGAGAGATGAGATCCACATTCGTATGAATCTTTCATAAACTTAACTATACTCTGTGCATTATCCCATTTTTATCTAATAGATTGTGCACACTATATGATTATATACGTATGTATGCAATGCAAACATTATATTATTAAAACATGAATACAAGACAGCGATAAAGTTGGAATCGAAATCGTGTGCTGGAGAAAAGTGTGTAACAAGAACAGGAAGCGACGAAAATCGGATGCAGGCATTCTTATAAACGTATGCATTCTTACAAAAAACTTCATGATGGAACTCAATCAGTCGTGAACGACCGAATGAATCGAATTGGA